TTGATCAGATACTTAGGTACATGCATGTGCAGTTTATTGAGTACATTCATTCTTGCATGCATATCACATATTTGTGTTTTGTTTTGATTTTGGCTTGTACTTTTAATTTTTTAATTTTGTTTTCAATTTTTTCGATTTTTGTTGGGAGATTTAGATGTTCTTGATTCAATTTCTTCATTTGCACTTCATTTTGGATGACTACCATGTGGTTACACTTTGCATTGCATCATTTGGGTGTTTAGCTTCTTTTTTTTTTGGTTGAGCTCACTTGGAGCATTTTAGTTCAATTATTTGAGTGTTTTTGTTGCTTCGAGATTAATGGTTGATGGAGATTGAGTTAGCAGTTGTTGTTGGGTTGTGGTTGTGTGGTTGTTGTGGTATTTTGATGTCAACGTGGTTGGACTCTTTGCCTAGATTACTCGCGCCACGTTTTCGGTATAATGTTCAATTTGTTTTACACTTCTTGTCATTTCATTTATTTTCATTCACACACCTTGATCACATTAAGTTTGTTGGTTTAGTTGTGTTGATGTTGTTTATATTGATATTGGTGTGACATCGCAAGGTGGCGTCTTGTCACCGCGGTGTGTCGTCACGACACACGTCACATTATCGCGTCTCACATGACAAGTCATCATGTCCCGATGTCCTGACATCATTGCATCACGTCACCTCTGTCTAGGTATCATGGCATCCTTTATGTGCATTCGTCCTCAGGTACATTGCATATGTACTGTTTGCCTCAATTTGCGTACTTTCATGTATATCATGTGTTCAGTCGTAGCATTGATATATTAGTTTTATCCGTTTTAGATGCTCATACTGCTGCTCCGACTCCCGGTACATCCGTTTCGTATAGTAGGTCTAAGTCTATCTCTGTGACTGCCCAAGATACCTTTGGGTCACAGTTTTCTTTGAGACTTATCTTATTTGAGCGCGAGGTCATTTTATCTGACTTGTCACCCGACCTCGCTGCTATTTTCACTTTTCGGGGTTGGAAGTCTTTATTGGTTAAGTTGACACCTCCTCTTAGCCTTCTAGTTCAAGAGTTTTACGCTAACATTCACGATGTTAGCGGTTCGACTTTTAGGGTGGCGGTAGGACATTAAGGACAGTTAAGATCACACCCGATGTCCTATCAAGTCTAGCACATATTCTTCGGGTCATCCATCATTTATTTTCTTATCTGTTTGTTGATACTCTTCTAGCGGACTCCTTTGTCCGTTCTACGGTGTTTAATACACAGTTGGAGGGTGGTCCCGGTGCGATGCACACTAGATCACTTCCTACTGACAGCAGATTTTGTTGCTCATTGTGTACACGAATCTATGGCCAGTGTCGCATACCTCTTCATTACCATGAAGAGGGCTCGATTCTTGCACGCCATGTTGCAGGCAACTCTATT